CAAAAAACAGAAGAAAGCTGAAATTCCTAAATTCCTGGATAATCCTCCAGGTTATTGCAGCCACTGAGGGCCAGTGGCCAGAGCTGTGTGTGCTCTTGGTAGGGTAAAATGCTCCCTCCCACGCCCACACCAGCAAAATAAACCCCCCCAGGGGAAGGGAACCCCCAAATCTTGCTGGGGGGGTAGTTCTGCTGCTCTCCACAATCTTGGGAGGCTACAAGCCTTAAAAACTTTGGCAAAGACCCCACATTTTGTGAAATAAAGGACTAACGAGCTGCAGGAATCCCCCCAAACCTCAGACCCACTGCAAATTTTTGCAGGGCTACAGGGACACCACAATTTCCTCCCCTTTCTTCAGCAGCCACGGGGTGGTTTGTGTGTGTTCCAGGGCGGGCACGGTGCCTGTCACACCCTGAGGGAAAACCTGCCAGGACTGGAGAGCCAGCAGCTTTCCAGGGGCTGGAGTTTACCAAAGGGAGAACAGAAATAAAGCCCCCTGAGGCCCAACCACGTCCCTCAACCCAAGGGGATTGGGATCTTGGCTGCTGCACATCGTCCTCCTCCCAAAGGAACAGCACCTGGCACAGAGTGAACCCAGCTCTCTGCCAGCCCCACACAGCCTTCCCATCAGCTGGGCACTTCTGTGTTACAGCCCAGTGAAGAGACAGAGCCAACCAACCCAAGGAAACTGTGAGTTATTATTTCACTTGGCGTGTGGACTAATTGCCATCAATACTGATTAGCCCTCGGGGATGCCGCCGGATTGGAAGGCTGCAGACAGTGAAACCCCAGCTGATGCAGGACCTGCTTTGGGAAACACTTATTCCGTGTTCCTGTGTTTATATTTGTCTGAGAAGAGTGTGAAACTCCTGGTCCCACCCTGGGAATAACACTCATAACTCAGCATGTGCAGCTCTGCCCCTGCCAGGGGCTCAGCAGTGACAGGGCCAGTGAAGTTCTTCCCAAACTGAGTGTTCTGAGCAAAAAAACCCCAACCCTTTTCAGTGTTTCACAGCCCCAGAAAGCATCTGATAGTCTGCTAGCTCAGTGCTGGCTTTTAATGAACAGAAACCACCAGAGAGCAGATTCTGCCCCCCCTGACTGCAGACCCTGTGAGGTTTAATTGACTTCACTGAGGCAGCACAAATTCACGGAGAATTTGACTTAAGAAGGCATATTTATATTATTTATACAGATATTTTTTAAACAATTTTTTAAATTGTGTGACAGGCAGTGAAAACCATGGGCCAGCTACCAAATTCACTGGTGGTGGGACACCAAATCACACCTCAACTGATCTTGGAGATACATCAAGGCAGCACAGGCAAACAGAACCATCCTGATAAAGAGGACAAATTAATAATATTAGCCAGGCAAATTAATGCTCTGTAATGTAACCTCCAATTAATAACTATTAAACCAGAACATTTTAAGACTTCTCTGTATTATAATACCTCACCAGCAGGAAGAAGGATTTCCTTAATAGGCTGGAAAAGGGAATGCTGCGTTCAGTCAATAATGAAACACTCCCATGATTTAAATTAAAGCTTCAACCATTAAGAAAGAAGGGATCTAAAGCACTTTTCTGTGCATCTGGCTTGCAAACAGCCATGTCCAGAGCTCAGAGGTGGAAGAGAGTTACATATTCCATGGAAAAGAGTTCACATATTACCTTGTTTGTGTAAAAACTGTATGCAATTAGTACTACTTGGAGTAATAGAAGTAGGTTTGGATTTATTCCACACAACACACTCAGAGTAAGTTGTAAAAACATGCAGCAGCAGGTGAAAATGTCCTTTGTGGCAACTTGGAATTTTTTTCCAAGACTTCAGAGAGCATCATCTTTTGGAAAGGGGATAAGAGGATACAGGATTTCCTGAAAGGATAATTATCCACTGGAAAAGGGGTTACACCTCCCAAACAAAGGAAGTGTCAAGGATAAGCTCTGTTTCCTGCAAATCCATCTGGGAAATATAGATATGGATAGATATATATACAATCATAGAATTATTGAATAGAATCATTTAAGGGTTTGGGTTGGAAGGGGCCTCAAAGCCCATCCAGTGCCACCCCTGCCATGGGCAGGGACACCTTCCACCAGCCCAGGGTGCTCCAAGCCCCGTCCAACCTGGCCTTGGACACTTCCAGGGGCAGCCACAGCTTCTCTGGGCAACCTGGGCCAGGGCCTTCCCACCCTCCCAGCCAAAAACTTCCTCCTGCCCTCCCCCTTGGAATGGCACTTTAAGCAATCCTTCAAGAAACAAAATAGTTCTCAATGAAAAAGAAGGTTCCCCCCAGGCTGCAAAGACAAGAAAGGGAGACAAGGAAGTTGGGCCCAAGGTCAGCAAGGTGCCTGTGTGTCACAGCTGGGGTGAGGGACAGCCCGGGGGGGCAGAGCTGACAGAAAGGAGGTGTGACTGCAGTGACACCCCAAACCTGCTCCTGTCTCTCGCCTCGAGCAGTGAAGTCTCTCAAAACAAACCTGCAAAGGCATTTCTGGGGGACCTGCACAGGAACCACACCTCTCTCCCACCAGCAAATCTGAAAGCACAGCAGAGAACACAACCAGCACAAGCAGGCAGAGTGAAGATGTACCTGAACAACGACAAGTAAACTGACTTCCCTTTTTAGTGGTCCATGCCACGCTGCAAGATTTCATAAAGTACTTTTGAGCTCTGCTGAGGGAGGTCTCAGTCTTCCAAAGTGCTGCTGAAAACTTGCCAACACACTCAAACAGCATTAATAGGTGTATATTGAATTTTAACACAAGCACTTTCTACCAGACTCCCAAATTACTCCTCTTCGGTGGATTTTCCAGGACTTTTTTCCTGGAGAAACAGCATCACCTTCAGGCCAAAAAAAGACACATTCCAATTGCTTGAATAGGGAAAGCCTTAAATAAAACAATGCCCCTGAAAACCTTGCACATTTTTAATTCCTCTCTGAGCCGAGTTGGCAAAACATGAACATACAAAAAAGAAAAATTCTAGGGTTGTACACAAATCTAAAATAAAATAGAGGGAAGGGTCAGTGTGTCCTAATTTTGGATCCACTCAAGTTTCAGAAGAGTCCACACAGTTGAGCTCAGAACAGTTTTCCCAGCACACCTACCAGGAGCCAACTGCTGTGGCAATTATTGTGCACCCTGAACCCCCCAGCAACCAGAACACAGAGCAGGAGGTCAGCGTGGGGGGTGAGCAGCACAAAGGGGATGTGTCGTGGTGTGCAAGCAGACAGAGCTCTCAGCAGAAATTCAGTCCCTCAGAAACCACATTCCTGCTGCACATTCACACACAGCACCAAAACCACAGAGGGAAATGTCTCTGCCACTGCCCCACAGAGCAACCCCCCTCTCTGCCCAGAACAGACAAACTGAGCACCCTGGGCTGGTGGAAGGTGTCCCTGCCCACGGCAGGGGGTGGAATGGATGAGCTTTAATGTCTCTTCCAACACAAACCATTAAATGGTTCTAAATTAGGTCACAGTGAACTCCCCGTGTTGTTTTATGAACCCCTGTTTTGCAACAAGAGCAGCTGAGAAGCAGAGGGCAGATCCTTCACTGAACAGGAAGTTCAGCATCTCAGCTGCTTCCCCAAAACACCTCCCTCCCTCCCTGGGTCAGCTCCTCACAGCGTGTCCCACATGTCACGAGATGCTCCTCATCCAGCACCCACCTCCCGCCAGCAGCACCCGGGATGTCCCTCAGGGAGCCACGGCTCAGCCAGGGGCAGGCACAGAAACAGGGATTTATGTAGAAACAAAGACTGGTTTGGCTGGAAGGGACCTCAAAGCCCACCCAGTGCCACCCCTGCCATGGGCAGGGACACCTTCCACCAGCCCAGGCTGCTCCAAGCCCCGTCCAACCTGGCCTTGGACACTTCCAGGGATCCAGGGGCAGCCACAGCTTCTCTGGGCAACCTGGGCCAGGGCCTCCCCACCCTTCCAGCCAGGAATTCCTTCCAATATCCCATCTCTCCCTGCCCTCTGGCAGTGGGAAGCCATTCCCTGTGTCCTGTCCCTCCATCCCTTGTCCCCAGTCCCTCTCCAGCTCTCCTGGAGCCTCTTTAGGCACTGGAAGCTCCCAGTGGAGACTCCCCAGAGCCTCCTGTGCTCCCCCCTGTGCACACACAGCCACAGCGACAGAACCGAGGACATCAGCTCTCTGCAAGGCCAGGGAACTTCAGCTGGGCAATTTCTTCCCGGTTTTCTTTGGAAAATAAAGTCAGTGTTTCCTGCAGCAGAGCCCAAGACCAGGCTCCCCATTGCACTCCAAATTCCACAGGCAGTGTTTCACTCCTGTTTGTTGCCCTCCCTGCCTGCATCGGGTCCCTTCCTGACGGGGAGCCCTTTGCTGAGTGTCCAGGATCAGGAACAGCTACCAGTGGAGGCTATATTATTTATATTTATATTTATATTTATATTTATATTTATATTTATATTCCCAAAAAAGTAATTCCTGAGTTTAATCCTAGTTGCAGGAACTGCCTGTAACTCACCCTAAAATCACTGAACGTCTCACTTGTTGCTGTGTTTGTAGTTTAAAGACGTGGAGACTTGGGGAATGGACAGATAAAGGGAGAAGGAAATGCTAAAGGGGGAGGAAAGCGCAGTGTCAGCGTCTTCAGCACGAAACCCTGGGGGAGCAGAGCCAGTGAATTCACCTCGGGAAAGAACAGGCAGGAAAAAACAACAGATTTTGGGGAAATCGCCGCAAAGACGGGCTGGGGGCGGGGCCTGGCGGATGGGGCGGGGCCTGGGGCCCGGGGGCGTGGTCTAACGAGATGGGGCGTGGCCCTGAGGGATGGATGCGTGGCCTGTTGTCATCTGGGGGCGTGGTCTGCTTTGCGGGGGCGTGACCTGAGTGTTTGAGGGCGTGGCCTGACGAAGTAGTTGCGCTGATTGGCGGACGAGGGGGCGCGGCCGTCCCGCGCGCCGTCCCCGCCCCGTGCCCGGCGCCATTTGCCGCTCGGCGCCGGCCCGGGAGGGATCGATGGGGCCTGAGGAGGATCGGTGAGGAACAATGACGATCGATGAGGAACAATGACGATCGATGAGGAGCCGGAGCGGAGCCCGCGGGGACTCCCCGCTGCGAGGTACGGCTGGGGAGCAGCGCCGTGTGCCCCGTGGTGCCCCCCGCTCTCCCTCCCGCTGTGCTGTGGCAGTGGAGCGGCTCCACAGAGCTGCCAGGGCCGGGCCGGGCAGGGCTGTGGGCGCCTGCCCGGCTGCTGCAGCTGCGCTCGGAGCTCCGGGATTCCTGGAAATGCCTCTGGGTCCTGTGGGCGCCGTGTGGGGCCCGAGTGGGTGTCCCTGCGGCCCCTCTCGGGGTGACAACACCCGAACCGCGCATTCGGCCCAAAAACCCTTGGGGTTTACCTTCGGCGGCGTCACGGCCCGCAAAACTGAGCCCAGTAAGTGCGAGGTGTGGGTTATTGCAGCAAGGCGTGATGTTTGTGAGGAAAAGCAGGCCGTGCTGGGCTGTGACAATAACGTTGTCCCGTCGTTGTGTCCCCCCCTCACACCGGAGCACCCGAGGGGTCCGGGCCGTGCCCGGGTGTCCCCTCTGGTCCCTCCGTGGGCTCCTCATTAGCGGCTGACAGAAGGGAATGGTTGTGCTGGATGTGGATCCCCCGCGGTCTGTCGGCTCTGTTCTCCTTCTGCTTCGCTTCCATCTTTTCCTTAATGACCTTGATGATAGAAAAGAGAGTCACTGGGGCTGGAAAAGCCCTCCCAGCCCATGGATCCCCCTGTGCCCCATCCCCACCTTGTCCCCCAGCCCAGAGCACTGAGTGCCACGGCCAGGCCTTCCTGGGACACCTCCAGGGCTGGGCACTCCAAACCTCCCTGGGCAGCCCCTGCCAAGGCCTCACCACCCTTTCCAGCAGGAAATTCCTCCTCCTGTCCCACCTGAGCCTCCCCTGGCACAGCTTGGGGCTGTGCCCTCACCAGCAGCACTGTGGCAGCCCATGGAAAATGGGCTGCTGGTTAATGCACTTGGATTATTAAGGTTAAATTATTTTCTTATCCTTAGAAATGACTTATCCAAAGTCCCCCAGCAACAGAATGTGGGAATAACAGCACAGCTGTCAGTGCAGCTGCCTGGTTTGTGTGGTTTCAGTAGTGATTGTATTTATCTCCAAGGGGTGTCAGGGGATGGTTCCAGACTCTGCCCAGTGGTGCCAGTGACAGGATGAGGAGCAATGGCCGTGAACTAAAACACAACAAGTTCAACCTCTACATGGGGAAGAACTTCTTTCCATGGAGGTGGCAAAGCACTGGAACAGCTGCCCAGGGAGGGTGGGAAGTTGTTCTCTGGAGACATTCCTGTGTCACCTGCTCCAGGTGACCCTGCCTGGGCAGGGGTTGGACTGGGGGATCTCCAGAGGTCCCTTCCTGCCCCAGCTGTTCTGGGTTTAACACATTCCCCTGCAGGCCCCAGAGAAGCTGTGGCTGCCCCTGCATCCCTGGAAGTGTCCAAGGCCAGGTTGGACGGGGCTTGGAGCAACCTGGGCTGGTGGAAGGTGTCCCTGCCCATGGCAGGGGTGGCACTGGATGGGCTTTGAGGTCCCTCCCAACCCAAACTCGAGCTGTGGATGATGTGGAAGTGTGAGACAGTTTTGGAAGCACTGGGGGCTCCAGGCAGCTCCCAAGGGAATTGCTGTGAACACAGGCTGGCTGAGGAGGGGCTGCACTCACTGCTGTTTCCATGGCTTCTCTGCAGGGATTCCTGGAGCTCTGGAGAGGAGTCACAAAAGCTGAGCAGAGTTCTGACAGAAATGGTTTTCCTCTGGAGTTTTCCCTGGAGTTTCCCTGGCACTGATAGGACAGAGGACATCCAGCTTTAGAGAGCTGTGCAGCCCTGGAGATAAACACATCAGAGCACATTTTCTCACGTGTTGGAAGGTGCTGAACACACAGCTTTGCTTGGAATATGCATCATGTGAGACACTGGTGTTGTTCAGCACCCAGAGCCCTCCAGGAGCCACTTGAGATTCCAAGAGTGGGATAGTTGTTATTCCTGACAGCATGGACAGTGAGGATCCAAGGTATGTAAATCCGTGTGCACAACACCCCTCCTGGAGTGCTTGGAGCATGGCTGGGATTAACTGCAGGGATTAGCACACAAAGGGAATAATTTGTGAAGTGAATTCAGGGTCCTCCAGGCCTTCTCCTTATGGGAAAACTGTGAACCACCTGGAAAATCCCACCCTGCAGGGGCAGCTGTTGTTTAAATGCCTCTGCTGCTTGAATGAATTGATGAGAGGAACCAGTGTGAAGGCAGAGAATGTTCTCTTTGTCTGTGGAATTCAGACTGTCAGCTGTACAGGTGCAGGTTCACGTTCAGCCAGTGACCTCCTCCAGCTGGGCCAGAACTCTGAGCACAGGAGGACTGACTGCTCAGATAAGGGGTTCTGTTAGTTTATTTGAACAGGGGGATTATATACTGTGTTAATATATGGATATATAAACACGAGTTTGACCATAATATGCTCTGTCGTGATTTTCAATTTTAAGACGTTTGTTTTGCAGAGAAAATAGTGCTGTATTTTCAAACAATTCTAAATAAAAAGCAATTTATTGTTATTAAACTTGAGGAGGAGATTCTTTAGAAATAGTTGTACCCTTGCCCAGCTAATTCAAGATCAGATCCTGTGAATATTAATACCCTGAGGATATTAAAGAAGAGAAGGAATATTTTAACAGATCTTATGCATTAAAAATTATAATATAAATTCCATAACTTCCTTATATTTAATTTTTCTTTCCTGATCTACCCTCTTTCTGGAGACACTTTTTGCAAGTGATGAGTTCATGTACTATTCCAACAAAACCAACCAAAGTTTATTTTCATTGTGCTTACAAAGTTGGAGTGAGTGGCATAGAATTTCCAGCTGCTCTCTTAATGCAGAATTAATGCAAATAATCATACAGTGGTTTCTGTCTTTATTTGAAGTGGTAAGAGCCCTTTCTGTGTTAAAAAACCGAAGTGCTATTGCCATAAAATTGACTAAAGTTGTCAAAAAATTTTAAGGATCATGGTCCTCCCCCAAAGCTGTAACTCTTTCAGTACCACTGTCCTCTCCCAAACACTGGAGAGGTTAAAATAACTCTGTATATAAGACCTTGGTTTATCTGCAAGTACTTTACTGGGATAATTTACTAGGATGAGCTGCTGAATGTGATTTTTTTCCCCCATGTATTTGTAGGTACAGAAGCAAAATGTTTGTTTTCCAAGCAGGGGGGTTTGTTTGTTAATCTCCACGGGAACCCTGATGAATGTGCCAATGCCTTTCTATCAGCTTGGTGAGTGCCTGAACCTGTCTGTTAGAGAGGATTTTCTATTACAGGGAATTGTTCACTGGTAATTCTGCTGAATTACCAGAGTAAGGGGCTGTTGTGTGTTTATTGAGCTGGCCCCGGAGTCGCTCACAGGAGAAGGATCTCATGCCTTGTATCTGCATCCTCCATTCTGTGCATAAACCATGACCAGAGGGAGGGAAACTGTGCTGGTTTCGAGGTAAACCAGCAGGGGAAATGAACTCAGCTCAAAAGAGAGATTATAAGTCAGAATAACAATTTAATAAACTAATACAATAAGTACGATTATACGGACAAACAGTTGGTTTTAACCCACCAAACCCAAATGTATAACCCAGCACCCTGGGGCATGAACAGAGGGGTGTGAGTTGGGCCCCCTGAGTCCAAAGGAAAAGGAGAGGGGAAACCTGTTGCAGTCTGGTTGAAAAGTGGTGGTTGCAGTCCAGTTGAGAGTGGTGGTTGCAGTCCAGTTGAGAGTGGTGGTCTGCAGTCTGGTTGAGAGCAGTGATCTGCAGTGGGATCCATTTCCTCTGGATCCCACAAGTGGTTCCAAAAGTCCCAAGACTCCAAGATTCTCTCTCCTCCAGTTCAGGCAGGAATGCCCAGTCCCTCCCTCAGGGCGGGGAGTTCCACACTGGGTGTGAGGACAGGAGCACCCTCCTATCTCACAGTTCCACAAAGGGTGTGGGGACAGGAGCACCCTCCTGTCTCACAGGCCTCTGAACACCCAGTTTACAGCCTGAGGAGTCAGGCTCTATGTGCAGAGGGTGTAAATGGTTCACTGAGAACAGTTCCTGGGCAATGGCATGGAAGGCTGTGGAATACACAGTTTTGGTTACACCCATCCAGTGATGAACTGGGCCCAGCTGTTCTAACCAGGACAGAAACCCTCTGCTGTGGGGACAGGCTGGGGGAATTGGGATTGTCCAGCCTGGAGAAGAGAAGGCTCCAGGGAGAACTCAGAGCCCCTTCCAGGGCCTAAAGGGCTCCAGGAGAGCTGGAGAGGGACTGGGGACAAGGGATGGAGGGACAGGACACAGGGAATGTCTTCCCAGTGCCAGAGGGCAGGGTTGGATGGGATATTGGGAAGGAATTCCTGGCTGGGAGGGTGGGGAGGCCCTGGCCCAGGTTGGGCAGAGAAGCTGTGGCTGCCCCTGGATCCCTGGAAGTGTCCAAGGCCAGGTTGGACGGGGCTTGGAGCACCCTGGGCTGGGTTGGGAGGGACCCCAAAGCCCATCCAGTGCCACCCCTGCCATGGGCAGGGACACCTTCCACCAGCCCAGGGTGCTCCAAGCCCCGTCCAACCTGGCCTGGGACACTCCCAGGGATGACTAGAAACTCCAGGATGGTAAAGAAGATTCCCCACTCAGTTCACAAACCATCTTCATTTCCCCAGTCTCAGTTTTCCCAGTTATTTGGTCTGAGAGGTTTTCTGTGGTCTGTGTCTCTTATGTAACACTGTAACATAAACAGTTTTGCAACTGTTCAGCTTTCTTTGCTAAACATGTTTGTTGAAACAAAGTTCAGAGGCTGTTTGAACTCCTGCTGGACGGAATTTGATTCCCATGGGGAAGAGGCATTGAAAAATTAAATATGGAAAGAATAGAGAAACATTTTTGTCGACAGGAACTACACCAGCAAGGCAGCTGGCACAGATAATTACAGATCTGAGCTCGTGGCAGCTAAAGAATAATAACAGTTAAGATATTGCTTTGTTGTTCATCCCCACTAGATGCTTTTTCCCATGTAGGTGATCTGTTACTACCAGGAAAGAAATCAATTGTTCTGCTTCTAACTGCAGTTCTGTAAGGGGATGTTTATTGTTCAGTATTAATGTCGAAGTGCAAGGACAAGAAAGAAGATGTCTGTGGTTTGAATGGCAAAATGAAACTGCAGAGAGGAGTTTCCTGCCCTGTGGGAATCTGAATTTCCTGCCTGTGCAGCTCAAGTTTGCTGCTTGGTGTCTTTGCACCTCCTTTCAGAAGGGCTGCTGGGGGCACAGCTGAGTTTGAGACACGTGTCCAGAGAGCCACGTTGGTGAGAGACACCTGGCTGAGTGTCCTTCCCAAGTGAACTCAGCAAACCCATGGCCCAGGTGGATCTGTGTGTGTTCTGTGTGTGCCACCACCAGGGAAAGGACAATTCTTAAGGCACTTCCCTGTGGCCACAAAGACTCTGGGCAGAAATCTCTTTAATTAATCATGTAGGAAATATTTCCTTTCCTCTTCCAGTTCTCCCTGCAGCAGTAGGCAAAGATCAGAAAATGACTGCATTAATCCCTGAGGAAATTCTCCCAGCACATCAGTTCCCACTGACACAACTATTCCCAATCCCCTCTACCAGGATATGTATTCTGGTTCTGTGTTTCACAAAGTCAGGAGCTGAATCCTGGGATCCCTTCCAAACTCAAGCACTGTGTGATAGTCCTGTCCTAACCATTTTTGTGGGTCTCCATAAATGGTTTTATTTTTTAATGTGTGCTCTAGAGTTCTGTTCTCTTTTCACAGTCATTCTTACCGTGGCTTGTCTTGTTGACATGTCAGGTCAAGACAAAAGAGAGTTTTGGGGAAGATAATGAAGTAACTTGGCAGATTTTTCCATGGAATTCATCTAAAGCATGAGAAAAAACGTGTTTGAAATTATAGTAGTGACTTCTTTGGTCAACTGAGTGTGGGAGTTGGCATCTCATGAGTCAGGGGAATGACCACAAAATGCCTTAAAATGAAGACAGGAAGTTTCTATTGGCTGCACTCAGAAAGCAGAAGGGAGGCTGGAGGAGCTTGAGGAAAAGAATTTAGAAAGGTCAGACAGGACAATAATTCCCAGAGTGCTTTGAAGCACCACGTTGAAAAGATAGCAATGATCAAAGACTGGGTTGGCCGAGGAAAAGAATCTGGATACAGTGAGACCCTGGGGGATGAACAGTCTCTTGGAAGGTTGTACAGGAGGATGAAGAAACCTTTGGAATATCAGGATTGCCCAGAGAAGCTGTGGCTGCCCCTGGATCCCTGGAAGTGTCCAAGGCCAGGTTGGACGGGGCTTGGAGCCACCTGGGCTGGTGGAAGGTGTCCCTGCCCATGGCAGGGGTGGCACTGGGTGGGCTTTGAGGTCCCTTCCCACCCAAACCATCCTGGGATTCTACAATCCATGAGAATGATTCCAGCAACAATAGAATCTTTTCCCAGATCAGTTCTAAAATTCTTGTCATGACTCGAAATGGTGTTTAACAGACAGAGTGAGGGACCTGGAATACAGCCAGAGCCCTCTGAGACAGTGTTTGACAAGAACATCCTGGCTGTGTTGGTTCACACCGGGTTTTGAGCCCCATCTGGAGGGATCAGCACAAGCCTGAACACAGTGGAGCCATCCAAGAACCAGCTCCTTGGAGCCCTGGATTGGTGACAGGGGTCAGTTCTCCCAGACCCTGCAGGTGGGAGGTGTGGAGGAAAGCAGCAGGGAGGTGTGAAGGAAGGTGCCAGTGGCACTGAGGGAATGCTGAGCATTGCAGTGGGTGTTGGCAGCAGCTGAAGTGCCACCCTGCAGACACAGGGCATTAACTCCCACTTTCACTTTCCAGTGTACCTGGGCTTTCTGTCTGCAGCTGTTTGCAGCCTGCCTGGTAAGAGTTTTTATCAGCTTTCACGTGCTTTTCCTAACGCATTTCATAGCTTGCACACCCTCACCAAGCTCCATTTTAAAACTTCGTGCTTTTTGAAGGAGGAACTTCACAGAAATGTAGCCCAGGAGCACCATCCCTTGCATTGCTGTGTCTGCATTGCTGCTGTGCTGAACTCTGTCCTCTGGTCGCTTCATTGCTCTGGGGGCAAATACTGAGTTGCTCTAACTGGGTTTGTTTAGTAGAACTGTCGTGGTCTCACACTTGTTTGCCATCATTTTCATGTGGTGTTTGTTGTTTGTTTGTGTTATTTTTCCCTTTCTAGAAAGAATTCTGGGAGGGCCTCCTTACAACCTGAAAATGGAGTCCAACAACTTCCAGCACGTTCTGTCCTGGCAGGCAAGGAATGACCCAGCTGTGCCAACCTCCTACAGGGTGTTCTACAGACCCCGCAGGCAAGGCTGGGAAATAGGGCACAAATTTGACTGTTTATTGACTCAAATAGGAGGGAGGTTTGGAGTGCCCAGCCCTGGAGGTGTCCCAGGAAGGCCTGGCCGTGGCACTCAGTGCTCTGGCCTGGGGGACAAGGTGGGGATGGGGCACAGGGGGGATCCATGGGCTGGGAGGGCTTTTCCAGCCTCAGGGATCCTGGGATTCTGTGAAAATACTAAGGCTGAGGTTTTCTTGCTTTTTCACTGAGAAATTCTTTCCTCACACTCTCATGCTTTCTTATGTCAGAGAATTCAGATTATTTTGCCTTTTCTTACAGGAACTGGGACTGGACAACTGCCAGGCAGTGCTCAGGCACTGCACAGCTCTCCTGTGACCTGACAGAGGATTTCAAAGACAGGTCCACTGAGTATTATGCATTTGTTCAGAGCATCACAGGAACCAGGGTGTTCAACTCTTCCGTGCTGCGTTTTGCTCCGTTAACTCAGAGTGAGTTCTCTCTCTGCACTTCTCGTTTTAGAGGTTTTTGTCAACAGCTGATGTATAAATTATATTCTACCTTTGCAGTGAGACTCCAAGCTAACTGGATTAGTGGCTGTTTGTATCTAAGTCACTTACAAGACTTATTTTTTTTTTTTTAAATTAGTGGCTGACAGTAGTTCTGATAAATGGACTTGAAATTAAAAATCTGGTTTTGAAATAAAAAATATATGTGTAAATATAAAGGAAATAGCATCGTGTCAAGTATTTACAAATACAAAGTAAAAATCTCTGAAGTGCAAAAGATACGTAACTGAAAAATAAAAACACATTGGTTTTATGTCTTGGAGTAGTGAATGTTGAGTTAAAGAAGTTCCATGTCTGCAGTAGGTGTAGGGAAAGAGGTTTACTTGCTTGTCCATCACCCTCATTTCTCCTTTCTGAAGGTGCCTCTCAGCTGGGACATTTATAATGCCAGAGGTGGCTTCACTTTGGTTGTGCTTAGAATTGAGTTTTGAAGTAACAGAGGCACAGATTGAGGAGCAGTTGGAGGACCATGGAGGAGAAACAGGTCATGTTCCCTCTGAGCTCAGCCCAGAGGCAGCTGCTGTGGCCACTTCCAGGCTCTGAAATGAGGGAAGATTGGAGGGGATGGGGAGAATGGGCACAGGGGGAACTGAGGGGTTTGAGAACATCCCTGAGGAGGAGACCTGGAGCCCCTCAGCACTGGGTTGGATAGAAAGGATTGGACAAGGGGAATGGCCTTAAGCTGAAGGAGGGCAGGGTTAGGTGGGATATTGGGAAGGAATTCCTGGCTGGAGGGTGGGGAGGCCCTGGCCCAGGTTGCCCAGAGAAGCTGTGGCTGCCCCTGGATCCCTGGAAGTGTCCAAGGCCAGGTTGGACGGGGCTTGGAGCACCCTGGGCTGGTGGAAGGTGTGGCACTGGATGGACTTTGAGGTCCCTCCCAACCCAAACCAGTCTGGGATTGTATTCTGTGCATTTACCTCAGCTTTTGTCTCAGGTAGATGCAAAGCTCAGATCTCTGTGAAGCTGAAGCAAAACCTCTGACCCCTCTCTGCTTCTTCCCTCCCCCCTACTCCTTTCTGGTTTTAAAATCTAGTCCTGTGGGAAATTATGGTTTGACTGTGGGAGTTAAATGCTCCAAGGCCTTGTGGAATTCCAGCAGTGGCATACTGTGGAATTGGCTCCATATCCATCACCAAAATACAGCAGGTACTGAATAGATAGTGTATATTTTTCCATCATTTTTTCCCTTTCTTGTTTTCCAATAGCACGCCTGGGACCACCAGAAGTTAATGTAACTTCTTGTCTAAACTGCATAAATGTCACCATGAAGCTGCCAACCTCTCACTACAGAGAAAAGGGAAAGCTGCTCTCTTTAATTGATATCTATGAAGAGCTTGATTATGAAATAACACTGAAATCACAGGATAGAGAGGATAAGGTAAAGAACATTGGGGTTTATTTGTGCTTTCGGGGAGAAACACGGAAAGCATAAAGGGTGAGCAGGTCCCCAGGAGCAAATATGTGAGTGGAAGCAAAAGAAAACACAGAAATGTGTTTTCTTAGAAGAAAGACAGTGGCCAGCACAATCTTTTACCACAGAGTAGCAGGTCTGGGAGAGTGACCAGGGATCTCTTTTTAGGCCAATAACTGACTTTAAAACATTGACTTTCTTTGGCAGAGGGCACAGGAGAAAACCACTGCAGAAGTTTTCAGTACTGTCATTGAGGAATTGTATCCAAGTAGGAATTACTGTGTGTCTGTTGTGGTCTCTGCATCCCTGAACAAACATTATTCCATCCCCTCACCCTGGAAATGTGTCCTTTCAGGCTCCATGGCTCGCCCAGGTAACTGTGCTGGAAGGCTTTGTCTGGGGGGATGGTGTGGGGACATTTACAACTCAATCCTGCAAAATGATAGGTGATATGGAATCATGGAATATCCTGAGCTGGAAGGGACCCCCAAGGCTCACCCAGTCCAAGCCCTGCCCTGCCCAGGACACCCCAACACTCCCCCCTGTCCCTCAGAGCGTTGTCCAAACCCTCCTGGAGCTCTGGCAGCCTTGGGGCCGTGCCCACTGCCCTGGGGAGCCTGGGCAGTGCCCACCACCCTCTGGGGGAAGAACCTTGTCCTGAGATCCCCCCTGAGCCTGCCCTGTCCCAGCTCCAGCCCTTCCCTGGGTCCTGTCCCTGCTCCCAGCGAGCAGAGGTGAGGAATTGTATCAGAGAGAAAGTACCTTCCAAGAGAGAAACATTGGGAGGGTTTGTAAGTGAAAGACAAACCCCATCCACTCTGGGGCAACCAATCTCTTGGCAGTGCTGTGAGCCACACAAACCTCCACTCACTGCAGAAAGATCAAAGATGGTGTCATTTCTTTTTAAATTCCTGAATCTAATTTGAGATTTGGTCTTGTTTTGACTTTGACTTACCCTTCTAACCAAAATTATTCTCACTAGCTGTTGTGGATGTGGGGTATGAACTGTGGTCGTGGTGCACCTCATTCACTTCTGTTTATTGATTGTTTTTCCTGCCCAGGTTATCATTTAGCTGCAGTGGCAGGTGCTGTGTGTGTCTCACTGGTAATAGGTGCTGCCTTGAAGTGTCTGCATGCAGGAGGTTATTTTCTTCAGGGCAAATCACTGCCACGTGCCTTGGTATGTAATAATTCTCAGATTCAGCCTTTCTGGGTGGGAAGAGGAAGTTTACCTCCTGGAATTTCTAATCCTGTGCATTATGTACAAGTTATGTAAGAGCACAGAATGTTTAATTTGCTGATTGTTTAATTCACCTCTGTCAAAGATATTCTTCAGGCTGCTAAGTCTTGTCTGATCTTAAGAACAAATACTCAGTCTTTCTCAAAACCATTTTTTTTCTCCTTCTGTGACAAGTTACCAACAGAGATAGAGAATCATCCCCCACTACTCAGTGCTTGTCAGGAATATTCTGCCCAGTTCTGGCCCTCCCAGCACAGCAAAGATGTGGGCAGACTGGGGAGGGTCCAGAGCAGGGCCCTGGGGTGAGCAAAGGGCTGGAGGACCTGCCCTGGAGGAAAGACTGCAGGAGGAATTGCTCCACTGTTTTGAATGAAATAATCACTCTTTTTCTGTGACCAAGTGTTCTGGCACTTGAGGAAGCCAGTCCTGAGCCAGCTAATCTTTTATTTTCATAGGAGAGACGGAACTGCCACTAGATTTCAAGCAAAAATGTTTCTATCCATCTTTGCTTGCTTGTTTTATTTTTATAGCCTCCAGTTTCTTTTACATTTAATTCTATGGGGTTTTTCCAGCATAAATATTTTCCATTTTCTGCAAACATACCCAGAGCAGATTGGTCTCACCTTTTTCTAGGACTTTTTTCCTCGTTTCTATTCTTTGCTGTGTCGTTACCTTCACATCCCTGAATCTGCTGAACATGACTTTGCCAAGCAGTGTCTAAGGCTTATTTTTTTATTTATTGTCACCGTTTCCCCTCAATGCTTTGGGTATTAAATAATCCTCCAAAGTGCAGGGGGAAAATGGGGCTTGGGATGTTAAAATTGCTTCAAATAGTAATTTCTAAAGGACAATAAAATTGATCAGGTAACTGCAAGAGCTCAGAGAGACTTGCAAGACTTGGCTCAGGTTTAAGATGTGTTTCTAAAATGAGCTTTTAGTCTTAGAAAGAGACCTCAGAAATCAGAACTAAATCATTACATACCTGACACTGCTTGGCACTATTGTCATTTTGTTTCTGTGGCTGCCCAGTGTGCCTGGATTTGTAGTGAAGGCTGTCGTGTTTTGGCTTTAAACTGAAACAGAATAGGGTTACATGGGATATTGGGAAGGAATTGCTGGCTGGGAGGATGGGGAGGCCCTGGCCCAGGTTGCCCAGAGAAGCTGTGGCTGCCCCTGGATCCCTGCAAGTGTCCAAGGCCAGGTTGGACGGGGCTTGGAGCCACCTGGGCTGGTGGAAGGTGTCCCTGCCCATGGCAGGGGTGGCACTGGATGGGCTTTGAGGTTCCTCCCAACCCAAAGCGTTCAGTGGTTCTGTGATTTTCAGGAATGGAGAAGAGGGAACAATCCTAAATGCCCTGAACGCTATGGAAAAACCCAAAAACATGGCACAGGAGGGATCATTTGTTTGACAACCTCATGACTGGGGGTGTTGTTGCTCATGTTTTCCTGTGCACGTGTGCAAGTTTGGCTGATGTTTTTAATTGCCTTTACTCCTTTAGGAATCCATCAGGAGGTGGGTCTACCCATCCTGGATATTTCCAGCAGAAGAAGTAGACTCCATGGAGGTCATCCCCAGAGAGGTTAAACCCAAGGCCAGTGGGTGCAGTGGCAGTGACAGTGACAGCGAGGACAGTGACAGCAGTGCCCTGTGGGACCACGACTACACGAGGAGGGGGGTGCTGGGCAGAGCCCCCCCTGCCCCTGGCACCCCCCCCGGGCAGTACTCGGAGAACAGGCCCTGTGAGGACAGCGGCACCCCGGGCACTGCCAGCGCACCCCCCGAGCCCCGGGGCTCTGAGGAGCAGGACTCGGGCCTGGAGGGAGAGCAGGACACGGGCGGGGAGGTGCTGAGCCCTTTCCCCGAGCTCAGCTGTCAGTGCCCTGCCAGGCAGAGCGGCAGTGCCTGCTTCACCATCAACCTGCAGAGCGTGCTGCTGGGCACCCTGGAGGGCAGCGGGCACGGCCCCACGGCCGCTCTGCCTGCCCGGGAGCACGAGGGGCTCTGGCAGTGTGACCCTGCCTTGGAGGCAAAGGATGACACGGGCACTGGGCACAAAGCACTGGGTGCTGATGACTTCCAGGAATGGCAGAACTCTCCTTCCGAGGAGGAAAGCGACTCCTCGGAGTCAGACACGGAGCAAGTGACTGGGTACATGAGGAGGTGAACGAGGGAGAGCCACTGTCACCTTGTAGCAGACGAGTCCACACTGTCCAGCTTTTATTTCTGGACTAAACATACAGATCTTGTCTTCTTATTAACATTCTGTGAGGGTGGACCTCCCCTGCAGACAGAGCTGGAGAAGAGAAGGCTCCAGAAGGACCTGAGAGCCCCTTCCAGGGCCTAAAGGGGCTCCAGGAGAGCTGGAGAGGGACTGGGGACAAGGGCTGGAGGGACAGGACACAGGGAATGGCTTCCCACTGCCAGAGGGCAGGGATAGATGGGATATTGGGAAGGAATTCCTGGCTGGGAGGGTGGGGAGGCCCTGGCCCAGGTTGCCCAGAGAAGCTGTGGCTGCCCCTGGATCCCTGGAAGTGTCCAAGGCCAGGTTGGACGGGGCTTGGAGCACCCTGGGCTGGTGGAAGGGTGGTCTCTCAACCAGACCACTTCTTCAATTTATTGTTTTTTTTTAGCCCTGTGACTGGATTTCTCTGAAACCTGGTTTGCTGGATGTTTTGCTGTATTTTTCTAGAGAAAGTGGATGAAGTGAAATAATGAAGGACAGAGAATACTTACAATACTTACAAAAGAGTGAATCGAGGCATTAAATACATTTTTATATCATTTTTTGCAATTATTGAATACCATTAAAATATTTTTATGGCATTTTAAAGTTCCTGTGCTGTACAGCTCTACTTAACATTTGCACTTCATAAATAGGACTTTTTTCATATCCCTGCTCGAATTTTACCTATGGCTCCTCCTGGCCTTAGAAAGTGTGAGTTAGCCTGCTAAGACCTTACTCCTTGTGTGAAGGGTTTTAGCTATTGCATAGCTGAAAAAAAAAACACTTTTTTCACCTTGTGTTGGTGTCTTAGGTCCTACTTTTCTGCCCCCGAGCAGTTTCTGGCTGCCGTGACTGGCAAATGGATTAAACCCCAACAAAAAACTGGTATTTTCAGTAATAGCTTGAGAAGAACCCTTTTTACTCTGAATAATAAAACTCCCCCTCCCTTCCCTTTGCTGGGGAGATGTTCTGGTGGAAGTTCTCTTCATCAGGCACTGCAGTGACAGGATAAGGAGTGATGGGTTCAAACTGGAAGAGGGAAATTCAGGTGAGAAATTGGGAAGAAACCCTTCCCTGGGAGGGTGGGGAGGCCCTGGCACAGGGTGCCCAGAGAAGCTGTGGCTGCCCCTGGATCCCTTGGAAGTGTCCAAGGGCAGGTTGGACGGGGCTTGGAGCACCCTGGACTGGTCAAGAACCATGGCAGGAGGTAGAATTAAATGATCTTTAAGGTCCCTCCCAACACAAACCGTTCCACAGTTCTCTAAGTAGCGGCGTGGGCACCTTTGGTGGGGGCCGGACCCTGCAGGTGGAAGATAAAGCTTTCCTCAGGTAGCATTTGCAGTGGGAAGTTCGCTCCACATCAGGTTTGATCCTGTATCTGTTTATGCGTTATTTATTTACCCGCTTCGTGCTGACCTCCCCTCTCCTCCTGCTGCCAGGCCTCAGAGCCGGCAGTGCCCGGCCGGGCATCAGCTCACACGCTGTAGTAGCGACCGACAGCTTCACTCCTGTCCCACTCCTGCCGGGCCGCTCCCGGCGCTGGGGACGAGCCTTCGGGAAGGGGAACGGGGCCGTGGCGAGGAGGGGAGGCTTTGGAAGGGCTGAGGTGACCTGGAGGGGTGCGGAGTTGGGCAGCCCCGGTGTCTGAGGGGGAACGGTCCCGCTGTCTGAGGGTGAACAGCCGGTGTCTGAGGGTGAAACTGCGGTGTCCGAGGGAGCAGCCCCGGTGTCTGAGGGGGAACCGCGGTGTCTGAGAAGGATCGGTCCCGCTGTCTGAGGGAGCAGCCCCGATGTCTGAGAGGGAACGGTCCCGGTGTCTGAGAGGGAACGGTCCCGGTGTCTGAGGGAGCAGCCCCGGTATCTGAGGGTGAACGCCCGGTGTCTGAGAGTGAACAGTCCTGCTGTCTGAGGGGAACCCCCGGTGTCTGAGGGTGAAAGTCCGGTGTCTGAGGGAGCAGTCCCGGTGTCTGAGACGAACTCCCGGTGTCTGAGGGAACAGTCTCGCTGTCTGAGGGGAACCCCCAATGTCTGAGGGAGCAGTCCCGGTGTCTGAGGGGAACCCCCGGTGTCTGAAGGAGCAGTCCCGGTATTTGAGGGTGAACGCCCAGTGTCCGAGAGGGAACAGTCCCGCTGTCTGAGGGGAACCCCCGTTGCCTGAGGGAGCAGCCCCGGTGCCCCGGGTGAACTCCCGGTGTCTGAGGGAGCAGCCCCGGTGCCCCGGGTGAACTCCCGGTGTCTGAGGGAGCAGCCCCGGTGCCCCGGGTGAACCCCCGGTGTCTGAGGGAGCAGCCCCGGTGCCCCGGGTGAACTCCCGGTGTCTGAGGGAGCAGCCCCGGTGCCCCGGGTGAACCCCCGGTGTCTGAGGGAGCAGCCCCGGTGTCCCGGGTGAACCCCCGGTGTCCTAGAGGGAACAGCCCCGGTGCCCTGGGTGAGCCCCCGCCCGAGGAGCCGCCGTGCCCGCCCCGCCCCGCCGGGAAGCCGGAAGGGTTTCGGGGCGGCCCCGCTCCCGCGGCGATGGCGCGACGGCCCCGCTGCAGCTGAGGGAGGCGCCGGGAGCCGCCATGGCCGCCGCCCTCAGGGGCGCGCTGTTCGGCGGGCTCCTGCTCTGCGGTGAGTCCGCCGGCGCTGGAGGGAGGGACGGAGGGACGGAGCGACCTCCCGGTCCCGCCTCGCCGCGGGGAAGGGGCGGCGGTGCCCCCGGGGAGGCGGGAGCGAGGGGCGCCTGAGCCGATGGGGTCGCCGGTGCCGTGAGGAGCCGAGAGTCCGGAGCGGGCGGGTGTGCCCTGTGGGGACAGCAGGGACAGCCCGGGGGGCGTGCAGGGCACCCGCCGGCGTTATTGCCCCGCGGTTCTGTCCGTGCTGGGAAACGGGCACGGTCCTGCCCGGGCTGGGACACGGGGCGAGTCCCGGCCGGGAAAGGCGGGTGTGGGGGCGAAGCCGCGCTCCGGGGGCTCGGTGTCACTGTGCGGGACAGGGCTCGGTGTCACTGTAGGACAACGACTGTCCCTGACAGGAGGGGGGAGCCGGGGGGGGTCGGGCTCTGCTGCCAGGGAACAAGGGACAGGAGGAGAGGGAACGGCCTCCAGCTGTGCCAGGGGAGGCTCAGGTGGGACAGGAGGAGGAATTTCCTGCTGGAAAGGGTGGTGAGGCCTTGGCAGGGGCTGCCCAGGGAGGTTTGGAGTGCCCAGCCCTGGAGGTGTCCCAGGAAGGCCTGGCCGTGGCACTCAGTGCTCTGGGCTGGGGGACAAGGTGGGGATGGGGCACAGGGGGGATCCATGGGCTGGGAGGGCTTTTCCAGCCTCAGGGATCCTGGGATTCTGTGCACAAACCTTAAACCCTCAGAAGTATTTCTTCATATCTCGCCGTCCACATTGCACAATAAAACAATTTACCTGGAGATTGTTGAGGTAGGAAATGCTGCAGGGAAAGGAGCCTTGCCTTTTCCTGGCAATTTACATGCCTATCTCAGACCTCATCCTGAAAGCAGGGGCAGCGCTCCAAGAAAGCTGGAGAGGGACTTTGGACAAGGAGCTGGAGGGACTGAAAAAAGGGGAATGGCTTCCCACTGCCAGAGGGCAGGGTTAGATGGGATATTGGGAAGGAATTCCTGGCTGGGAGGGTGGGGAGGCCCTGGCCCAGGTTGCCCAGAGAAGCTGTGGCTGCCCCTGGATCCCTGGAAGTGTCCAAGGCCAGGTTGGACGGGGCTTGGAGCCACCTGGGCTATGGAAGGTGTCTCTGCCCATGGCAGGGAGTAGGATGAGATGATCTTTAAGGTCCCTCCCAACTCAAACCCTTCTGTGATTCTCATTTCTGTGTTTGTGATGTGCCGTGTGTTTGAGTTGATTTGTTGGGTGCGAGGTCAACACTGTAGGGATTGAGTCTGAAATAGTTTTTATTTAAGCCCGGGTTAGATTTCAAACTCCTGTCTGCCAAAGGCAGGTAACTGGCACATTAATTTCATTTATTTCTGCAGCCACTGGCCCTTAGGGACATGGTTTAGGGACTGGCTGACCTTGAAGTTCTCTTCCAACCTTGATAATTCTGTGAACTGTTAACATATAAATTGTGTTATTTATCTCACAACATCTGTCATCAGGTTTGACACCTGTGACATGTAAGGCCTGATCTCATCTGGCAGGGTTTGTTTGCATTGCTCATTTGTGTTGCAATAATGAGCTGGAATCTTTTCTATTTCAGTTTCAATACCAGCAATTATTTAAAGATCATTAAATCATGATAGTAATGGACTGATCATCGATACTTTACACTGTTTTGGGGGTTCTTTTATTCAGTTCCAAGCAAAGAAAACAGCTGTTCTTGTCACTTGTGAATAGTGCTGATTAATGATTATTATATTGAATAACTCACCTTCACAGGTGTTTCTGGTTTATCTCTGCTTATCATTCCCCACACCCTGTTATTCCCATAGTGCTGCTGGAGCAGTGCTTCCAAACGTTTGGGTTTGCCAGTCTCAGGGAGAGTTCATGCCCTGGGTGCTGGGCAGTGCCAGGTCAGCCGTGCCCAGGAAATGGTGGTGTCATAAACACTTACTGGAAGTCACTGGTGCTGGTAACTCGTTTGTGTTGCACAAGCTCCGAGGGCAGGGGAGGCACTGGGGTGTAAATTAATGGTGTGGAGGCCTGGTTTGAAAGGAGCAGCTGAGGCAGGAGCTGCGTTTAGAGCTGGGCTGGCTGAGGAGTGGCCGAGGAGCTGAGCTGTGTGTTTGGATTGCTCCCGCAGTGGCTGGAAGGCTGCCAAGGCCCAGGAACGCCAGGATCACCTCGGTCAATCTGCAGAGCACTTTGCAGTGGGAGGCGCCGAGGTTCCCCCGGGGGAACATCACCTACACTGTCCGCTACAGGAGGTGGGTCTGGGGCTTTGCTTTCTTTGATTCACAGTGTACAGCTCTGAGCGTGTTTGTGATTTGTTTCCTCTTCGGAGGACAATCAGGAGCTGCCCCTTTCTTTTAGCTTGTGAGAGGCTTCTCTGCTGGGCTAAGAACAGGGCAGAGGCATTTTCTGTGCCTTCACACCCCAGGCAGCTTTGTACCTTTTATTTTTGGAACGGGAAACACCTTTTGACAATGGATGTTATTCACTCTGTGTGTGGTTTATCATGTAGCTGTTACCTGTGATTCAA